CGTCCGTGCTGCCCGTGCTGTCTCGTAATACGTGTACAGAAACGAGAACGTGCCAACGTCTTCCTCTTCCTCCCGCGGGACGCGACAGTTTATTTCGTAACGACTTCGAGTGGCGAAAAGTAACCTCTGTGTTATAAACAATAATTCTTTCTTCTTTTTTCTTTTTTTCTTTTATGATTGGCGAGTTGAGGTAATAACATAGGAGTCTCTAGAATTAACGTGACATTTTCCGTGTGACAGAGGATCGAGGATCTTGATCCAATCGTTTTTAAGGTGGCAAGGAAGATGGCGAGACGAACGATTGGATAATAGCGATACGAGTTTATTGCGATTCGCAAGATTTTCCCTGGGATAAAATAATGATCTAGTTGTGTAGGGAAACAATTCTTAAAGAAATATAGTTTTATTACGATTTTTTTTTTTTAATAATGTAGTTTCGCTTCGAAAATAAATTGGGAATTTTTTTTTTCTTCGAGGCGCGTCGCAGTTCGTGTCAAAAGGAAGATTTCTGTCGGATAGTTTGAATAGAAATATCGCGTTGAAATTTTGCATTATACTTTTAAAATTTATTTCGCGTTTTAAATTTTATATCGTGTTTTAAAAATTTTTTTCGCCCCGGAACGATATATATAAATATCGTCCAAAACGGTAAGTAAGTTTTAACGTTAAAACAACTTATTTACGTTACATTTAAATATTTCGATATTCGGATCAGTTGGGGAGAGGAGTCGAGTGAAATTTTCCATAATTATGGAAAATGAGTGTTCGCAGAGTAGAATGGGTTCGCCCTGAAAGTGCAGCGAAACTTACGATAAACAGTCGAGATGGCTCGGCCGATTAGGCTTTCGAAAGATTAAGTTCGGAAAGATGAGCGAAGCGAGTCGTTTCGAAAAATGACTGGTTTCCAAGAGATTCCTTAGTTTCGAACGCGAGAAATATTGAACGAAAAACGAGTGATTCTGTAATTTTTTACTCCTTCTTCGATCGAAAAAAAGGATTCAGAGCGGGAAGGAGATTAGCCAAAAAGATTCGCAACCTATTAACTCGAGAGAAAGTGTAAAATCCGGCGAGTATAAATAAATTTTATATCAAGTTACGATCAACGCGACGAATATCGAGAATTCAAATGTGTTCGATACGCTTTTGATAAATTTTTCGGAAAAGAGTTAAACGTATATATATATATAAAGAATTGAGAGGGAAATCACAGTCCTTGGGAATAAGAAAGGAAATTAAAGAGGTAGAAACGAAAATCGTGACCGCGATTAGGTGGGACGCGAAGAAGAAGAAGAAGAGGAAGAAGAAGAAGAAGACAAGGGGAAATGTATTTGGAGTTAAAGAAGCGGTATCGAAGGGAGAGTCGTCATCGAAAGATCGGATACGTTGGAAATGGGAGAGGAGATGGATGGATGGGCGAGAGGGCGCGAGGGGCGAGGCTAGGCTTGGCTAGTCTGGGCGAGGTGAGGCGAAGCTTGATAGGGTGGGTCGTGGGGATAGCGTGAAACGTGGCGGACGATTTGAGAGGGCCGGCGGCCGGCTGACGCTGAACCCAAGGGCTGAACCGGTGGAGTGGGGGGCGCGAAAAGCGTCGCGACGCTCCTCGGTAGCGGCACGAACTAAAAGTCCGGGCGGCACGACGCGCCAGTATTCAGCCCGCGACCATCGCGAGTGTACGCGTAACGCCTGCTATTTCGCCTCGCCTCGCCTCGCCTCGCCTCCTTTTTCGTTTCGTTCGTCCGATTCGCCTCCACGTTCAAAAGTGAATTTTTATATCGAGCACGCGTGCATATAC